CAATGATGAATAGAAATTGCCAAAAGGACATCATTCTGTATTGTATCTTATGCGTCATCAGTATTCTTATCAGTGGTTAAAATGAAATGCAAGGTTGTATTTATATAAATAAAAGAGATTGTACTTCAACTAACTTTTTATTTTTATTTGCTGTTTGTCGCTGACAAAGCATTAAATAGTGACAGCATCGAGAGGAGTAGGGAAAACAGGCATTATTTTGATAAGGTATTTAATAGGCAAACGAACAAAACATTACTTTTTTGGAAGATAGGGGTCGATAGATATCGTTCGTTTTTAGAAATTATCTGAAATAACGATGGAACTGCATGAAATAGATAGATCATGCGTTTACATAAAAGAACTTCTATCTTACACATGAATAAATACTTGAGTCTGTGAAATAGTTCTTATCATCAGCTCCGTTTTATCAAATAAATAATAACACATCATCATGAAGAAATAGAAAAAGCATTTTTTCAAATGTATTTATTTGAAATATCACTCATAATAATAAGATAATGTACTGAACATATTTTATCATTTGTAAAAACAAATAGGAAAATTTTTTTTTTCAATGTAGTTGTTTATTTGTGCCAATGTTTTTGAAAAATGTCTTATGTATTGAATTCTATTTGATATCATCCAAATAATTGTCATTCATATGTTGAAAAATTATAATAAGACATGGTAGAAGTAAACGAAATAATTAACTAAATTGTAGAATGTCACGTCAAAGTTCGGAAATATTTTGAAGAAAAGGAAAACTGATATTTTATTACTTTAATCTATTTTACTCGAGCCATTCTATATAATTTATCAAGCAGAAAACAAGACGTTACACTTGTACGTAGTATAGAAAAAAATCCAGTAAAAAGAAGTGTAATTTTAATAAGTAAATAAATTTTATTTAGTGTAATATAACGTTGAATATATCGAATCAATTTTTTATTGCTATCATTAATTAGAATATAACGTAGAACTAATAATGTATGAAATATATCTGGTCCATACCAATTCAATAAACGAAGATTTGGATGATGATAAATTGATACTGAACATGTTGTTGATAAAAATGTTGTTTTATGTAACCATGATAGATCAGATTTTGGTAATCTATTTATATGATAATCAAACATTATACTCCATAATTCAAGTGCAATTTCAATATAAAAATAAACTATATATGATGGATAAAGTAATCCAACACATGCATACATTATAAAATGTGCATATGAATCTAATATTAATTCAAAATATCTACCAACTAGTGATATTTGATTTAAATTACGTGCTAATATACCATCAAGTGAATCAAGAAAACCGGATACTGTATGATAAATAATAAATAATAAATAATTACGTTGACTAAATAAAAGCAAAAAAAATTTTTTTTTTCTTTTTAATATCGATACAACAGTTTTCAAAATAAATGTTTGATGATTAGAATATTTATCCTAGCCGAATAGATCGACTTCAAAGCACGTAAAGATATTTTTTATTTTCTTTGTAGAATACATTCTTTTTTTTGTTGCTTTCAAAAGTGAAAATGGGTTTCTTTTCTAAAAATCTTTTCATACCCAAAACGTTGAATACTGACAAACATAAGTACAATACGAATCCAACATAATGTGTTAGGTGCATTGAATAAAACTAACCATCCATTAGCGTTGATATTAGTTACTAAATGTGAAATTTGAAACCTGATTGTTAATATTAGAAAACAAAGAAGAAAACTTACTATTAAAACTTGTCATTTTTTTCTTTTGTTGACTGCTATTTAAAAATGAGAAAGACCTTTTATTGATTACTCATACGATTCAGAGTAGTCCAACAAACGACTCTTCATAATGAGTCTTTTTTCATATTTCTCTTTTTTTTCTTTTTTTTCCCTTTTTGTTTCTTAAAACAAACTACTAGAATAATAGTTTGAATTGTGTAATTAAAAAAAGTAATTTTTCTCTAAAATTTTTTTTTTTTACGTTATCGAGAGTCTATATGAGAATATACACTTGTCATATTTTATATACCATTATTATCATTACATGTTGACCGTGATAGATAACGAAAAAAAGACGTAAAAAATATTCTGATGTAGGCCCCATCAATATTGAAAACGAAGATGCATGAAATGTGGATAGAAAAAAAAAATATGATACTATTTAAACACACAATTGTCAACGTAAAAGAATTTTAAAATACTTTTCCTTACCTAAAGAAATAAATGATACTTTCCTTTTCTTTATTTTTTTGTCTATTAATTTTACTTGTGACTGAAGAGTATAAAACGCTAAGATAGTCATTACTGTTAATAAACAGGGAGTCAATAATAAAGAAAATATGTATTCAGATGATTTCAAATAAAATCGAATGAATAAAGAAATGAATCAATGAATATACTGATTTGTCGCTCAGTAAGCATCGTTCCTCAACAACTAAATATTTCATTTTTACTCCCTTCATCAAATATAGGACTTTTTATTGAAAACATTGGATGTCTATATGTGTCAGTCAAGAGCATATTATTATTATTCAAATGAGTTACTCACTATGCTTTTTATAGGCAGCATCTTGATCAGAAAACAAGTCACAGAAGAAGAACAAAAAAAAAATGTTTTTAACCATGCAAAACGAAGATACATCTAGCAAGTGGTGCGTAAAGAATAAGGCACGTTTTTTTCTGTCTTGTCCAAGGTTTTAGCAGGTTTTCTAAAGTATCACTATCAGATAAAAAAAATATAGAGAATATTATGCTGTACAAGAATAGAAGTCTATTGATTAAAAAAGAAAGTGGCACAAAAATATGTAATACTCTTGCATCGTTAAACTGATTGTAGTCATCAAAGTTGAAGGCTCTTATCGAACTTTGTGTCAACAGTAACTCTTAATATGTGAATAAAAAAATGTTCAACATAATTGATTCTATTGTTCAGTGTGAATTCTTAGCCAAGAAACTTAAATTCATACACAAAATGTAAGTAGAATAGTAAAATAACATATCTGATAAGAGAAAGTAAAGAAATCGACTTATTAATTCATTAAACAATTTTTAATTTCAAGAAGACATATTCCATGGAAGTAGAAAAAAATCTGATGATTTTTATATCAAATACATGAAAACAAATGACATTTCATATGATCAAATAGTCATAAAAATGAATTTATTTCAATTAAGTAAATGCTATGAATATGATTTTTTATCAAAAAAAAAAAGAATTAAAATGATAACAATGTTCTTTTTAATTTTCAATTAATGAAATTCGAAAAAAAACAATTTTTATATCTGTTTCATCATTTGAATGTCGACTATTTTCATTTGAAATCCATAGAATGCTGTATGTAATGAAAAATAATATCGGATGAAATAAAAAGTTCATAAGAACTGCAACAAAGCTCACATTCGAACAAAAAATGAAAAGACGACTATTTTCTAGATGGGTGAAAAAAAGCGCTCAAAATGTATATCAATAGGAACCTTATTTTCTGATTAAATTCTATTTCATATCAATACACTTAAGAATTAAGGTTACAATTCATGTTATTTACCATATGGTATTAATTATGTTTGCAGATACTTCCAATTAATAGAAGATATAAAAAGAAATATGAATGGGAACAGTCAAAAAATTGAAAAAATATTGATCGAATGCAGAACAATTTTTTTGTTTCGTTTTGTACTGCTTCACGGCGTGTGGAAACAATGGCTTTTTTGACCAAGAGAGTGTTTTCCAAAATGGTGGATTTTCTACTTTTTTTGAGTACAAATGATTTTGTTAGAGACCTCCTAAAAAAAATCTTGAATAAGACAGTACTAGACCACTACATTGTTTGTACGTTACGCGTTATATAAAGGGCTTTTTAATAACATGGAGAGACCTTTTTCTGTTCTGTTGATAGATTAACAAGAAACTAGCTATAAATAATGATTGATTTTATCGAAAAAACAACGACTACGAAAATATTTGAGTAGAGAATTGTACACTTTGTCGAAAATTTCAAGTCAAAAATAAATGTTGTGCAAAAAAAAAGAAGAAGAGTGACTTAAAACAAAATTAATATGAATGAGAAAATGACAAACAAACAAGAATATGACGGTGACGGAGAGGTGCAGAGGGAATAGCCCGCTTCCTTCACTCACTTAAAGACATTTTCATTTTTTCCAGCAAAAATTGTTCTTTTAATTGGAAAAAAAACCGTAGAACGAAAAGAAATTTTTACGACCCCACTGTTTTTTCTTCGCCATATCCTTTAAAACAAAGACAATACTAACTGCTTCTTGTATATATTCGCTTTTCTTTTTATGCTTTTCCTTCTTTCACCGTTTTACAATGACAGCTATAAAATTTTGAGTGAATGTAGGAAGTAATTAAGAGAGTTTTTGTGGGAGCGTCAAGAACAATCTGATTGTATGAAACAGTCGTCAAAATTTGATTTTTTGACTTTTTAATACTCATTCGAAAGGTCATTATCTAAAACAACCAAACCTAAATGTTTAGTTCATTTGGATGTTTTATGGAAAAGTTAACTTTGATCAGCGTTTCAGTACTATCCATTTACTATCAAGAAAATCGTGATCCATTACTCTATAAACATCTACACTATACATTATACTTCTACAAGTCAGAATATTTATTCATGTCATGTACCAAAATATGGAGCGTCAACAAATGACTCAAATGAACTACTTAAAACATTGTATGTCATCTATTTACTGGATGTATATAATCCAATATTAATGGAAAAAATCAAAATTATATTCGATAGGTATTGACGACTCGAAAATGGAACATCTATTGGACAAAATCCTTTTTATTTTGATCGAATTTCGATCCTCTTCGAAGAGAATCGTTCCTATGATTGTAAACTGAACACTGAAGTGACCTAACGTCGAGCTCTCGACCTATTGGAAAGTGAGAATTCAAGGACTCAATATAGAATCTTTTTTTGCCTTTTTTGTTTTTTTTTACTTATGTTGAATTCAGAAGGTTATGAGAGTGTTTACAATTATTCAATAGTCTACAATATATATTGGGTACTTTGTTTATAACATAATTGGCTTTGATATTTTTATCTTATATTGGATACTGGCGTACTTTCCAAAAATAGGATATACACGTATATAGTTTGGAATTATTTTGTATGCAAAACATATTTATTGATGCTAGTATTGTAACGTTGATAAGACTTTCTTGTATAGTCTAAAATATCTCATGCGTTTAATATGCACGAACATAATTTGCAGAATGGAAACATAGGGTCGTATGAAGTGCACCAAAGTTGGCGTGAGCCAAAGTGAAGCCCATTAGTCCATACTATACCCACTATAAATATATAGTACTCTAGCACCGGAAGTGTCTTTCCCACAACAGAACAATACTACTCACAACTCAGAAGTGCTATTCCCAAAACAGAACAAAAGTAATCGCTACCCTGGAGTATCATTCCCATAACAGAACAAAGGTACCATAGGCGGCGGAGCCACGAGGCCTGGGTAGGCTCGAGCCTACCCTAGATTGGATTCGGGTAGACTCAAACTGGAACAGATAAACGCTTGGGTAGGCTCGAGTTATCCTAAATTAAACATATAAAAAAGCTTGAGTAGGCTCGAATCGTCTTAGATTGAGGAGATAAAAGAGGCTTAGATAGGCTCTGTTTAATGTTAAAATTCTCTAAAGGGTGGTTCAAAAGTTTCGACCACTCTCTATAAATCGATAGTATCTACAACAAACTAATATGAAGTTATTGATCAAATTACGTCATCTTTTAGAGAAAGATATGAGTTATCATCTGAAAAAATATTTGGAAATAGATCTGGCATCTCATCAACACTTTGCAAAAAAAAAGAGAAAAAAAGATGCCCAGCATTCTTGAAAAAAAGAGACTTTTTAATAGAAAAAGAGGCGTACAGTTTCCTTTCGAAGAAAACTAAAACTCACTGGCACTATAGTACTATAGATCCGACAAAACTCGTACGTTATCAGTATAGGTTGAATATGACTTGAAAGAGAAAAACAAAAACGAAACTTCCAAATTGTTCGGAGATTTTTGTGCAGCTGCTTATTTATCTATTAGAAAACCGGAAAACATTAGAAAAATATTCTAAATATTCTATCTACATAGTATCTGAGTATAATATTACTGTCTAACTAAGTAGGTATATAGAAATAGAAACAATCAAAATTCATTAAATGTCCTTTTTGCGTTTTGTTCCTTTTTTTCGGATGGCTACGCATGTGAGAAAGTTTTTCTTGCGCTTTTTCAGTTTTCGGCAATTCTTCCGTGATTTTGACCATTTTTCGCAAGTCAGTTTCACTTTTCCGTTTCTCAACATAAATTAATACATTGGTTGCAACTGTGTCCAGACAGCAGGTTTGTGGGAATCATTTGACCGCGTGCTATCGAAAACGCTTAATTTTTCGCAGTGACATATGATCATCTTCTTGGGTTCTGTATAAAACGACTTACTTGTATTGAGTAGATTGTATGATCTCTTACTTTTTGGTTACCGGATGCCCCTGTTTGTTGCTGTTGCATTTCATCATATCCGATTTCTTCCAAGTATCATCAAACCGTTGTCAATATTAACCCATGTCAAGCAAACACGCTCGTAATTGGAGAAATACGGCGTTTCATATCGCCCAGTAATGTGATCGTATAAATCCATGATCGCATGCGCAAAAATATGATCGTTTATAGACAAACAAAGCTCGTCTACACTTTTCGTTTTACTTTGTATTTTTTCGTATACGATTACATTTCTCCGTGTACGGTTTGGAGATATACGAACCTCCAAAATGTGATTGTATACGAAGAAACTCGGAAGAAGAGGAAGAGGGATTATTTGATTTTCTGATAAGCAGAAATCTTCATCTTATGTCATCATACTATCGGAAGCTATCTTGCTGAACAACTCCCATTGAATCTGACAGAATTCTAGACTGAATCTAGTCATCCTAGGAACTCTTTGCTTTGAAGCATGCGCCACGCTACGAGTTACCTATCTATTGTTAGATTCATATCACAAGCTTCTCTGGAGCCGAAAAAAATGGTCAAGAAAAGTGAGCTCGAGATTATAATTATACATGTCGATCTTAACCAGAAAAACATGTTAAGATCGTGAGAGAATGACAATTTCATATTGGAAACATAATTGAGTGCTTTTGCTTCCGCTAGAGAACCACAAAAATTGGGTTGCGATTATGGATATATAATATCGCTGAAATTGATCACTAAAATCATATACTTTAGCTTCCTTAGCTATGCAACTTGACTGATCAGCACATCAGTTTGTTATGTGATATTTTGGTGTGATACGGTAGCAATAATCAAAATATTCATGAATATTTTTGTCAACGATCTGCTTCTTCGTGAGAAAAGAGGAAAAAGTGGATTTTTTCGAAAAAAAGACGCTAAAAAGAGGAATTTTAAAAGAACAGAAAAGGAGGAAAAGGAGGTGGAGTGAGATGCCAGCTCAAAGCTGCTAAAATGATCATAACATTATAATAGATTTATGTATTTCGAAATATTTTTTTCAAATGATAACTCTCATCTACCTCTACAAAATAACACAATTTGATCAATAACTTTGTATAAGTTTGTTGTGGATATTATCGATTTATAGAGAGGAGTCGAAACTTTCGAACCATCCTTTAGTTATCAAATTCTACGGAATTTAAACCTCGCAAGAGGATCTGTAGCACTTACCATTATAAGCGAAAAAAAAGTCTCTCAATTGACTCTCGGTGCTGGCTTGGCTTAAAAGTTGAGCCTACCCTAGACCAAGACCGCTCCGCCGCCCATGAAAGGTACCCACTACCCGGAAATGCTATTACCAAAACACAACAATGATACTTACAACCCGGAAGTACTATTTCCAAAACCGAACAAAAGCACTCACTACCCGGAAGTGCTTTTGTTCTGTTATGGGAATGACACTTCCGGGTAGTGAGTACTTTTGTTCAGTTTTGGGAATAGTACTTCCGGGTAGTGAGTACTTTTGTTCTGTTATGAGAATGACACTTCCGGGTAGTGAGTACCTTTGTTCTGTTTTGGGAATAGTACTTCCCGGTTGTAAGTATCATTGTTCTGTTTTGGAAATAGAATTTCCGGGTACTGAGTACCTTTGTTCCGTTATGGGAATAACACTTCCGGGTAGATGAGTACGTTTGTTCTGTGTTGGGGATGACACTTCCGGGTTGTGAGTATTATTGTTCTGTTTTGGGAAAACGGTTGGATGACGGTAAAGTAACGGCTCGTATTTTGATTGATCCATTTTCCCTATATGAAGTGAACCACAATTTTCTGGTTAGCATGTTTGGCTCACTTCGCACGACCGATACATAGACAGTATTGTTTTATGTATGTTGACAATAAAGTCTAAGATCGCAACTATAGTTTTATGTTTTCTTCAAAATCAAAACGAAAAGTTATTGTTTCCAATTCGATATCGTTCTAAGGTCACTTCGTTTGATCTGTCCAGTAAATGAAGTTCGGCTCGTTGAGTGCTGCTTGGTTTTACTGGTAATACTGAGAAAGGGAAGTCTGGTAAAATAGCAATGACTTTGCGAGATCTGACACGTCTCCATGCCATGTAACCAGAAGTAGTTTCTTCTCTACCAACTAGAAGTGGCAAACCAACAACAACTTTTAACATTGTTTAACCTTGTGATTTGTGAGTGATGATCGTTTAAGCCGACACAAAAGATAACGCTTTCCCTGTAACCGTAATTTTTGAAGCCGATGAATTTGCGTGATTTCTATTTGGCTTTGTTGAAGTCGTTGGCAAAACTGGCAATCAAGTTTGAAGATTCACTTCAAAGAGTTTTTCGCCAAGGGATATTCGAACCACTTGTGGTTCAAGAAAATCAATTTTTTTAATTAGTTTTTGCTTTTGTCTCCTCCGCAAAGCCATAGGATAGCTTTCGAATCAAAATTGTATTTAACTGGAAAAAATTAAAATTATAAGAATAATCCATGTTAACAATTACTTCAGGAAAAATACCCAGCTAATTATCAGAGTTCAAGCTCTCATAAATTTAGATTTTAAAGTATTCAAGAGACGTTACTTTTATTTCAATTGTGGTCAGCAAACAGATAGTAGAAAATAGAGAAACTTTCAAAGAAGATACGATTCTCTAGTCAAAAACAAGATAGTTCAACTCGAAACTACAAAGTTTTTGATTCACGTCTATTAAACATTAGCTCGAATCACGAAAACATTATTAGCCACTCTGATTTCACAATACATAGCCAAATAAAGAGATTTTATGTTTAGGAAATTTAGTGTTGGTGTTAGCAAGAGTACTGTCCAATTCTTTATAAACCATTCGACGAAATATTCCTTTTGTCCCATTTGAAAGATAGAGTTCAATAACAACATTATCGATTAATAAAACAGTCATTTCGGTAACAAATGGTGAACAACTAGGAAGTGATTTAGTTTTGTTGTCAAGCAAAGAAGGAAGAAAACGATGAAGTCGACGAAAATTATTTTCATCAGTAGTCCTTGATTTTGTTCTATCGTGAGCTAGACATGCTATTAAAGGATAATTTAATTCATAACATTTGTTTAATACTGCACGGTTATTCAGATCAGCACGAGTTTCATTTCAATAAACTAGAATTGAAGCATTATTTCATGAAACATTAGATAATGAGTGAATGCCACCAGGTCGACCGATAATCAATAAAAGAAATAGTTCATAATCTTTCATAGTACATTCACCAAGTCTCACTCAATCAAGTGCTTCTACATATTCTTTTTCATTCAACAGCATCTGCATTGTAAGTTTAACAACAACATTCAGTTGAAGAATAAATAACTCGTCCAACCTGACATTAAATTTCATGTTCACTTAATGATAGTTTTTGCTTGAGATGTCGAATCAGCATCAAATAATTCGAACTGCATAAAAAATCTGTGAATAAAACTTTTTCGCATATAGGTGCATATGGCATAAAATTACCAAATAAAACTATAATAATGCCATCGAAAAGTACATTTGGATCTGGATTTTTGGCAATGATTAAAATTTTGTGGAAACGAGTCAAAAGTTAAAAGCCAACGCTAGAAATTTTTTCAATAAAATAAAAATGTATCAGATGTGACGCCATTCATTCTGAATTGAATTGTCTCCAGGAATTAATACTCGTTTTCCCATTGATATTTTTATGGAATCTTTAAGAAATGAATGTATAACCATGTTACATGTATTCGTAGCGGCAACAGCAATAGGAGCGAGATTGTTTTGTCAACGGAAAGTATCAAATAAGTGCACTGATCAATTGTGACTTTCCAGTACCATCCGAATGTGGTATACACATAATAAGTTGTTGCTGAACGTCATCTGTAAAAGTAATACTGACTTAGATTATGAGAGAATTGATCAATCGTAGCTTGCTTCAAAAAGCTGTCCCTTTCAAGCTGAGATGTGATGATAAGAAAGGTGTGACATTGATCTTCGTTCAAAGTGAACTCTTCTATTATGTAATGACTTAAAATCATGGATGCTGCTGTTTTTATAACAGATTGAATATTATCTAGTCACCATTCAATATTATAATTATTAATATCCATTAAAGGATCACTTCTAACAACGGTTACATTTGAATTATTCATAATGAAACTTTCCTTGAATTCATTAATTTCCGACGCATGCATAATAGTTGCTCGAACTTTCCGCTTTTCACGTTCAAAATCAAGTTCTCATTGCCTATACTTGTACAATTTTTGTTGCTTTATGGAAGTTATCAATAGCTCCTCTATAAACACCACCAAGAATAGCGTAAGTTTTAAGACGTTGATTAATATTTTCAATAGCTGCTCGTGCACTATTAATGTCACGATCAAACTCTTTATCTTCATCTGTTAATTCACGTCCATGAGATTTTTTTCTTGGAGTAACTACATCTTCTTCACCAATGTATCGTTTGTCTGCAATGATTTGTACAGAGTCATTTACATGTTCTAACGGATCTGAATCCCTTAGAATTGTAATGTCATGTATACTTCCGTGATAACATTCGGATACATGAACTATTCGATGATGAAAATCGCAAGTTATTTGTACTTTTAATGCATAATTTGTTGAACTTTTTGCATGATAATATGTTTTACGTTCTCTTGAATCACAATGTTCAAGTGTTGCAATAAAAGTCGAATCAATGATTAATTTATGTTGTCGTTCAGGTCCATGTGGTGTTCTTCTGTTCGATAGATCAACAGGTAGTGAAATTAATTCTGGATATATACAGGAGTGTAAAATATCCAGAGTCGATGATAAGAAATAATTCACTGCTTGTTGTGTCAAATTCACTTTTGTCGCAATATAATGTTCACAATGGTAATGTTTTAAGTACCATAATGTAACTATCAGCAAATTCATAGGAGATAAATATGGTGTCATGGTACTGTTTGTTTGTTGTTCGTTCCTATGAGAGCAGTAGTTTATAAGTGATTGTTCACACATAGAATAGGCTCATTCTCAAAAGAGATACTTTTTCTCCTAAATTTTTCTATTATATTTTCTGTGCAGAAATTTTATCCTTTCATATAGCTATTTAATCATTCTATAGCTATTTAAATATTGAACAAGTGTTTTACGGTAGTCAATAGCTACTTAATTCTTCTATGACTATTTAAACTTTTCTTTAGCTATTTATTCTTTTGATATAACTATTTAATTCTTCTATAGCTATTTAATCTTAGAATTAATCTTTTACCTTCATCTGTAACTATTTAATTTTTGCCATGACTATTTAAACTTTTCTTTAGCTATTTATTCTTTTGATATAACTATTTAATTCTCCTATAGCTATTTAATCTTAGAATCAATCTATTACTTTCATCTGTAGCTATTTAATTTTTCCATGACTATTCAAACTTTTCTTCAGCTACTTATTCTTTTGATATAACTATTTAATTCTTCTATAGCTATTTAATCTTAGAATCAATCTATTACTTTTATCTGTAGCTATTTAATTTTTCCATGACTATTTAAACTTTTCTTCAGCTATTTATTCTTTTGATATAACTATTTAATTCTTGTGCAGCTATTTAATCTTATATGACTCTATCTTTTTTAAATGTATTTAAATCATCTATTAGCTTATATTTTTTTATCATGTTATTGAGCAGCGTTTAATGAAAAAACGTTACACGATTTGACTAGCATTTTTAAATATATTTTAACGATATAGTTTGCTATCATCTCTAAATAATTTTTAAATATATAGTTATTTGTATTTCTTTATTATATCATTGAGCAGGATGTGATGAAAAAAAAATTAAAAAATATATAATTTCCCTATCATTTTTTAAATATATTTGAATTAAATAGTTACTTGTATATTTTGTTTACTGGATGATTGACCACAGTTTGATGAAAAAAAAAAATTAAATGACTTTACTATCTTTTTTAAATTCATCTAATCCTCTATTAGCTTGTATTTTTGTATCATATCATTGCGCAGAATGTGATGAAAAAAATGAAAAAATATATGCCTTTAATATCGCTTTTTAAATATATTTGAATTATATAGTTGCTTGTATATTTAGTTTATTAGATGATTGAGCAGAGTTTGATAGAAAAAAAAATAATATGACTTTGCTATCTTTTTTAAATGTATTCAAATCATCTATTAGCTTATATTTTTTTTACCATGTCATTGAGCAGTGTTTAATGAAAAAACATTATACGGTTTTACTAGCATTTTTAAATCTCTTTAAACTATATAGTTACTTGTATGTTCCTTTATTAGATCATTAGCAGAGTTCGATGAAAATGAAAAAACTATATAATTGTTACTTGTATGTTCCTTTATCAGAGCATTAGCAGAGTTCGATGAAAATGAAAAAACGATATAATTTTACTATGATTTGGAAATACATTTAAATTATGTAGCGTATATATCTTTTAATTATATAATTGAGCAGGATTGTAAAAAAAAAGTGGAATATTTCGATCATGAAACTAGAGCGAAAAGAGTTTTACAAAGAATCAAACTGTTGTATGTACCATAATCGTGGTCTGTGTCAGAGTGAATGCATTTTACTCAGGCGACTTTTTTTTAAAATTCATAGTAAAAAAAATAGCTATAGTAATATCAATAACAGTGTGAAATTTTAAATAGCTATAGGAAACTTTAGGTAGCTGTAGTGGTTTAAATAGTCGAAACACTTTAAATAGCTATGACTTTTTTAAATAGTTGTACCCCTTTTAAATAGCTGTATGTTTAATTAAAAAGTATCTCTTTTGAGAATATCTATGATTTGTTTAAATAGCTGTAGCTTTTTTAAATAGCTATATATTTAATTAAAAAGTATCTCTTTTGAGATGCTACGCATAGAATATAGTTGTTGTACTTGTTCGACGTCAAGCCCCGTAGGTCGTACGCAAGATTCATCACTACGTCCCCATTCTGACCACGGGGGTTGTTCTAGAAACAAGAAAATCAGAAGTGTATGTGTAAACTGAGAGAAGTAATATTACTTACTACCATTCAAAGCTCGAAACTGTTGTTTCTTTTCCTTCATTATCTGTTGTTTCTCTTCTTCAAGTTCTGGTGCACAATAATTACAACTATCACGATGACGATAATAATTTGTGTACAAACCAGATTTTCCCGAACCAATACATGTCCAACTTAACATAGAATAACAATCGATACAATATTTTCGACGATCAAACATGGTAGATCGACATCGAGAACAGCTCCATTCAAGTTGTGGGAAGAACATGGTATGAAGTTAGTAAGCGTTTGCTATCGTGTGAAGTGTGATCGATAAAATGAGAGACAGAGCAAGAAAAAAATTAAAGTTAGGGAAAACGTGGTGTGACTAGAACGCAAAGACACGAGAGAATGGATAAAATTTTGTCAAGGACGAGATATATACCGAGAACGAGATGGCAATAAATACGATATGAAGCACGTGTAGCATTATAATTTTAAGGACGTACTTACCAGCTCTCGTTTTAAGTAATATAAACTTCAAATAGTGTCAGATCAGTAGTACTATATGCAAGGTATAACTGGTAAAAAAAATCATATTTTTCCGATAAAAAGATGAACCTATATCAGCAAATATATCTTGGAGTATCAGGTCGGCTTGTCGCGCCCATATGTAATGATACATCCGATTCGTTTTTATCGATACACATATATCATACAATAATACAAATTAAATTGTTTTATAATACACTTTATTGATAAATTTACATGGACCAAATTCCAAATAAATGAATTATTTTTTGAAACAATTGGATATTTTCAAGGAAAAAAGGTTGATAAAAAAAGAGAATAATATGAAGAAAACTGGTAGAAATGAATTAAACTTTGCATATTTATTACAAAACAATTCTTTATCCGTTCTGTTATATTGAAGAATATATTCTATGGAAATTAAACTAATTATTGACTAATGAATATCATTAAGGATCGATTTCAATTCAAATGTCGTTAATGAAAGAAAGATCAGCTGATCGATTCAGTAGTCATTGCAAAATGCTTTTCTTAATAATATTTTTCACTATGATTCAACAAACAATGTCAATATCATGTCAACGTATTCAAATAGCATATAAAGCTAAATTTATATCAAAATCTAATGATTATATTTTGATAGAAAAGAAATCATTTATTAATTGGTTTGATCAAAAATTTACTCAAATGAATATACGGTTTCCTTGGAGTAAAACTTAGAATAAAAAAAAAATATTTTGAAAATAATTTACTATAACATTTCTTGTCATTCATAGATCTTATCGGTCAACAACTTGATGAAGATAACAATAAATCATTTTTGATTCAATTCACTTTTCAATTAGTAATATTATCTAATTTCAATTCTATCTTATTTTTTATATTCTTATATATATCAATAGATATCAAACAATTCATGGATGTTTCTTATTATTTTTATTTTATTTTTTCTACTAATTTTCTTCATTATATCAAGTATAAAAACATTTTGTAAATACAAAAACAAACAACAGATCATACAAAAAAAATCATCCACACAGAATAATTATTATCAATTGTCATGGAATAATGAATTTAAACAAGAAAAATCTCGTATTTATTCACAGGTAATAAATACTTTACAATCAGTTCTTAACAATGATTATTATTCAAAAAAACGAAAAGCTTGTCATATTTTATTTCAATGTATCTATTCAGTATTTCTTATTTGTCTTTTATTAACAAGGTAAAATTAAATCATTTAATTATTGAATAGAAAAATAAATATATATTTCATAGTGGTTTTCTTTTATGGATGATTATCATTATTATTGAAGGAATTACTATTGAAAGAAAAATTCATGATTATATTGAAAAATCTTCATTAGAATTAATTGCATTTATAGAACATACAGCATTTGTAATTACTTGAAAGTAATTTTCTCTTTTATGTTTTATGAAATTTTGAATATTTAGATAACAAATTGTTTTTTTAATTCAATTGAAATAAATGATGATAAATTTGAATCTACATTAATAACTAATGAAACTCTTCATGTAAAATAAAATAGAAAATTCTTTTTGTTTTCTTTTTTGTTGATAAGGTGTCAATTTTTTATAGACCAATTTCGATTTAAAATTCGCATTAAATGGTGTATCATTTTTAACAAATGTAATATATATATATATATTTAACCAAAATATTATTTAGTAAATCTATTCATTTTTTATTTATAGATTTTTCATGATCTATCAATACATTTAAAAAATTTAAAAAATTTATTTCATTTTTGGTTCATGTAAGATTATTTCCGAAAAGAGCAAGAACTTCTGGGATCTATTTTTTCGGGACTTTTTTATAAAATTTCTCTATATATTTTATCATCAGACGGGAGGGATTAGATCGAGAACAAGTACCTATTTGAAAATGAAGGCAAGAACAACATGCTGACCGACGTATCGGCTTTAAGTGAGGACTCACTATTCCGAACGATGACTCGCTTTTGGTACAGTTAAAAATGTATTATTTTCTATCAATAGATAAATTTGCTGGTTTAAATAAGTCCTAAGAAAGATAAATCCCGGTAGTCCTTTGAAAAGACAATAAATGTTCTATTATTTATTTTTCTAGTACTCGCTTAATAACAATCATTTTTACTGCTATATTTCTTATTCTATATGGATTTGTTGTTTATCTACTATTAAAAAAACTTCGTTGTTCTTATTTTAAATCATGTCAATATACGAAAATGACTTTTATGTAAATTTATTATGAATAAATCTAATCATCTATCGTGTTGTATTGTAGATTATCAATTATCTATTGGATTGGTTTTGTTCTCTGGTGATTAATAAATATACATTTATGGATTCATTGGTTTTCATTTTTTTTAAAAATTTAATGTAGGTTCACTAAATTTGTTATTCTTCTTCCACATGTAGCTGGTGCTTGTTCAGCTTGTAATGATTTGAAACAAAAACAAGTTTATAATTCAGTAAAGGAAAATTTTTTATTGAAGTAGCAAAACATTTTATTTCTCTATTTAGCTGTTATTTGCTAGTAAATGGTTTAATTCGACTTTTCTCATAGCAATGAATAATGAACCTATTGATATTGATCAATTAATTGAGTAGAATTTAGATTTAAAAGAAAAAAAAAGAACAGTTTATGAAGATATTTGTTTATAGAAAATGTAAACAAAATCTGCCGTTATTGTCAATTAATGATTTTATTCGTTTGGGATTATTAGAGAATAAAATGGATAAAATAGATGTAATGTTTTGATTGAACTATTTATAAACAGAATATTAATAAGTTAATTTTGCTTATGTTTAGAATATTAATATAGATAAAATGAATATAGAAGACATTGATCTTAATCAATATCATCTAGTAAGATAATTTGAATATAAGATTCACTTTTATAATTTATTTCAAACGAAATTAAAAAATTTTCATTCATGAATAGTAGACTTACTGACGGGTTCTCGAAAAGTAATGTGACCAAATTTTGTATCGTTTCCGAGTATAGATTCAACATTTCTCTAGGACTTCTCGTTTAGGATTTATGAATCGACTTTGTAGAGACTCGAAAATTAAGCTTGGACAGAAAAAATTGATCAGTAGTTTCTTTTAGTGCATACGTTATAATACCTATTTTTATTCGTTTACACTGATTTAGTTTCAATATGATCGTAAACTGCTAAATCATGATTTTTATAATTCAATCTATACAAAGCTTTTAATGTTAGATGGAATATTTTCGCAGTTTTGTCTTTCCAACACCAGATCTTTTCAAAATTAAGATCAAATATCATCATTGGACTTAGTGTAAATGAATGTACCAAATTCAATATAGTTTAGAATGACCAGCGGTCAGTTGGCCGATTTCAAAGATCCCAGCAAAACACTAATAATTCTTGAATGGAACAAGCTAGAAGGATCGGCCTTGTGTAGATTGACAGAGAAATATCTTTGCTATTGCTGTCCTGAATTGGTACTCATTGTTAGTTCAAAAAGTTTTTGTGAAAACTTCTGGTCAAAATCTGTAGCAAAAATTCACTAGCTTGACCAATATATAGTCCGAATACTTCAGCAAAGTTCTACTTTCCTCATATTTCTCTTTTCGAATGATGAAAACTGCAGGTTTCTAGCTACTTTCGTTCTCGAGATATACACAAAAATATCGGGCTGCATTATACTTTGACACCGACAACAGTAACGAGGTTTATATTGTAAAACTATTTTTCATTTCTTAGTAAAATATATGACATCTCCCGTCGATGAATATCTCTCAATAGTGAACAATATTCAAAAGTCCCAACGATATTCATTTAAAAGTTTTATTGTATAGACAGATATTTTATTTTCAATTTATGTTGCAATAAATGTCACAGTTAGAATTTTCTTTTAAAACGTATGTCTATTTAAGAATCATTCTAAATATGAACGACGATTTGGTCATTGTCAAATTTTTTACGAACTTCATAACAATTTTACACAACTATTTTGTCATGTTTTTGTCAAACATCTAGTTTGTTTAATAATTTCAAATCTTGTTTTTATTTTTTATTTTTTTATATATTTCAAATTTAATTTCTTTCTTCGATAGTTTCATTATTTAATAACTTCAATTATTACAACAATAAGTCATTTACTTTTATATTTAATAACAATTCTTCTTCATCGATGTATTCAGTAAAAATCAATAATTTTCTAATCAATATATATTTTTTTTGAAATAATATTTTTAGAAACTACAAATATAAATCTTGTCATTTGAAGTTTTCATTTCAATCATCACCTATACTTACTACAAATCATTCTATGATAATACCTTCAAATCAAAATCAACAAGATGAAATAGAAACAAAAATTGAATATCAAAATCATCCAATAATAATTCAATAAAATTCATACAAGATGTTATTAATCATTCTTATATCTAGAAATTCTTTACTTGTATAGTTATCTTTTGATTTGTTCATGATGTTTGATCTGTTTTGAATTAATAAATATCTTTCAGTTTATATTTTTTTTTCTTTTTCTGTTCTTCTTATCTTCATTTGTAAAATTGAATAATAACTAAAAAAACCTATGCATCAGATTAATTTACTTAATAACATTAAAATAAAAGAAAATCAAGTAAGTCTTTAGAATTCGATAAATAATTTTCTTTTTTAAAATGAATTTAGAATATTAACAATGAAGAATATGAAAATAGAATAAATAGAAAATCAATTTATTCAAGAAAAACCATTATTTTAATACTTATCGCTGTTATTGCTGGATTAGGTTTAATAACAACTACAATACTTATTTCGATTAGTAAGAATTTCCAATTTCTAATTTACTTATACTATTATTTTACTTCAGAGTTCCATCAAATTCATCGTCTATCTCACGATGCATCTGGTAAAACATTAGATATTTTTTTTCTAATCACTTTCTACCCTAATATGAGTACCTTTGTAGTTTCGATTTATCCACATGGAAAATATTCCAACTACCTTAAGATAATTTTTTTGTAATCTGAATTCAACAGAGTATTCATCAAAAATTAAATAGATTTTTCTATAATTTCTTTTTCTTTTTCTTTTTCTTTCTAGCATTTGCACTTGAAACATCGAATTCTATGAATACGACAATACTTTCCACAATTAAACATACAATTGACAGTACTAATACAAATTTTAGTAATAATACTTTACTATCAATTACAATGCCTATCACCACTACTACTATTACAAAGACTATAGTAACAACAACTACTGATATTCTAACTAGAACAATTCGAATTATTTCAATGAATACAACAACAGCTATAGCTACAAGAAATTTATCAGTTACCATGAAATAATATTTTGCACAATAACAATCCTTTTTTCTTGATCTAAGAAAATTTTTTCTCTGTACGCAGAAAAATAAATAATTGATTAGCTGAATTTATGTTTTACAATATATGTTTCATATATACAGTAAGTATCGAAATTATTGAACAAGGTTTATGTTCAACATCTTTTCTGTTGCCGTAAACGTTAGAGAGAATCGAAATAGTGATTTGAAAAGAGAAAATGGTTTCCAACAAGAATATAATGAAATAAAAACTATCATCATATTTGCAAAAATAGGAACTCAAGAAAAACAAAAGACTAGTTTTGTAGCACCTAAAGAGCGTAAATATAGTTTTGCTGAGACTACATAGAACGATAGAATAAACCATCTTCAAAAAAAATGAAACATCGTCGAGTTCTCTGCAATGCTGTTTCGCTAAGATAAAGCAATTTGAGTGAAAGTCAAAAACAAATGATTTTTCTATAGAAAATTGGAAAACAACCTACTTTAGGGACTTCCATAAGATTGTTGTACCTCAGCTAAATAACGGTCATAGAGAATTTGTAGACATCTAATTTTGTAGTGAATTATTTGCACTATCGTTCTATGTAATCTGAACAAAATTATATTTACCTGTTCTAGTTGTTGAAAAACTAACCATTTAGTTTTCTGGAGTCTATATTTTTTGAAAACCTGATAATAATTTTTATTTCATTATATTTCTTTAGGAAATAATTATTTCTATTTGAATCACTATTTAGACTCTTTCTAGCGCTTACGACAACGGAAAAAAATTGAAAATAAACCTTATTGAATAATTTTGATATCCACTGTAAATATTCTATAGATAATTTTGTATTATGAAATCAACGTTTTTCAAACTATGAATATAATATTCAAAAGATAGATCTATTCATGAATAGTTCAATATGAATATTGAAAACAGCGTATGTCGAAATGAGTTTATCGATCTAGGTTACATTTGATAGTGAATCTAATCATCGTAGATCTTTGAACATGTATTTACCATTCAAACAATTCCTGACGATTGCCATCACTTAATTCTTTATCATATCACTATCATATTGGTTTTAAATTCAAGATATGATACATTACAATTCTTTTGTTTTTTCTTATTGTTAATCGTTGATATCGAACTTGTTTTTTACATGTATCATGTAATCATATTAAATACTATGAAACTATCGACTACAATTGAGTACCATCACTGTCACTAAAAACTTCGACGAACGAAACACATGTGTATTTTATTATTATTTATTTAACTAATGAATATCATATGTATATATATATACATTTAGAACAAAAATATGTTTAAAATGAACCTTCCAAGCTCAAATATAAACTAGACAGATTCCACATATCATAGAAATTCAATTTTGATTTTATTCTATCATTCACAAGATACTTCGTGAATCAAAAATTTTCTCTTTATTGCTGTACAACGGATCTTTATAAATCTGTTTTGTTTTGAACGCAAAAAGGAAATATCAGGATTCGATTTCTCTTATATTTTACATGATACAATTATTTTCAGATGGTTAGTGTTAAAGAATATCCACCTGTACTTCGCATAGATCAGTAAATATTGGTGTGACATTGTTTATAAAGAGCTATAATGGACCAAATTTTGCATTTCGTTTATATTGAATTCATAATTAGAAAAACATTGAAAAAACGGTAAATTTTTAGATAACATTGAACTTTTTATTTTACGTAAAACAAAATCATATTTGAATCTAATCAACATGCAACTATAGTGCTAAATACATTTATCTTTGTCATGATGGCAATCTTCGATCATTATTCACATCTGTACTAATATAGTGCGGAGATTTAAGCTGTAACTTTTTTTATGTTTAAACCATTATATGTGTAACTCATGCTATAACTTCGGTTTAAAATTTTTTCATCTATTAAACATACAAATATAGTGCATCTATGTTTTTCATAGTCTTTGTTTTGTGAACAATCAAGGATATCGGACGAAGTAAAACATAATAAATCTGTTTCATATAGAAATGAAATCACATAACCTTTTACTACTAATTTTACATAACTATTAACTATACTTGTATTGCAAATTCATATTGATTAATTCTTTATTCAACAATGTTAAAAGATATTATTCATTATTGGAAAAAAAAGATACTTCTGCACTAAAGGATCACATCAATAATAATAGTGATCCAGGACTAATAATTCTAATGGTAAGATATAAACTATCCAATAATTCAATTCCCAAAGCAGTAGATACCTCATATGCATCAGAACAGATATTTGTTTGAAATCAATTTTTTTCTCAAACTATTAAGTGCACCCACTTTTCTTAATAATATATATATATATTCATGAAAGATGCAGTAATTACACCATTTAAAAAACTTTCATACTGTTTATTTAAAGATTGTAGTAGATGAAAATTTCGAATGCAACCAGAGACTTCGAATAAATAATAATTTTCCATTGATGTACTCACGCGAATGCTAATACAATTAAATGACAACTTTCCATTCTTCATATCATTAATTGCAGAAATTGAACGATTGAACAGCATTAGCTCAACCATAAACGTTTTGAATATGTATCATTTTATCGATTTTACATTTTTAAAGTTGAAGATATTATTCTGAATTTATGAGAATTCGAATTTCTCTTTCTTTATTTTTCGATACATTTTATTCCGTATGAAGATGCCACTACCGTCCATTAAAGGATTTTATTAAACGATCATCGTTTTCTATCGTAGGTCTAAATACATAGAAATAAGGACAAAAGTATAAACATAAGAACATGAGAGTAAGTAGATAAGCTTAATAGTGCGAATGTATGGATCATTACAAACTCTTATTCTCTATTTGACAAAAAGCTTTGATACGAAACCTTCGTTTTTTCGAAACCATTTTTTTTCTTAAAGTGTAAAGTATATGTATCCTTTTGTTTTTTTTCCTTTATTTCACGGTCCAGTATTTTTCGAAAAGATTTTTCTTTTGATATTGTTCAAGTATTTTTTTTCCTCGCGTTCATGTTTTTTTTTCTATTACATTTGGTGTTTCTCTAACTCGTTCATTATAAATACTGATTGTTTAGAAAATAAAAGTAGAAATGTATTTTAGATCAATTAGATTGATTCACTTGTTAACAGTCCTAAACTTAAATTCTTGTGAGAAGAAAAAGAGAATATCCGAACACGGATAGAAGTGACAAGAGCAAACACGACTAACCGTTGCACGAGAGACCAACAATTGATAAAATAAACTACTATAATAGGATAACTTGAAATAATTGATGAAATAAAAAATAGTTTAAATGAAAAAAGTCTATATAATTAGAAAATAAACATTTATTTCGACTAAAAAGAAAATTATTAACAATGTGCATCGCAATTATATATAAGTAATAGTGACATATGGTTGATAATATATCAATTAAATACAGTCATCAGAATTATTTTCCGATAAAAAGAATATTTTCATTTCTATGATTTCTTATGAATATGACAAGAAAGATATGGATACAAAACGATTTAACGTGTGTTATAACTTAAAAATATACTATTGATGAAACCAAATAGTCAGCATTTTTGAATGATTTATACAAATGACTGGACGAAGACTCTATAATGGTCATTATCTACGTAAATGATGTCTCATAAAATTCTTTTCAATGTTAGAAATTTCAGTGAACTAATATTAGTTTTCTATTTTAACGATTTTTATCTTCGCATCAGTATTTTTATCTTTCGCTTGTTAAGTAAATATTTGTTTCCTATATTGCGTTCATACGTTGATGACTTGTAATTTTCTTTTATAACTAATAAAAATTCTAATCGTTTCAAATATCACACTCAACTTGTATACTAATAATGAACTAGCTCTTGTAGATAATTTAACTGTAGAGTAATTAACATATGACTGCCATTTTAATCGTAAAAGAGGAATTCTCATATTTGTTTATTCGCTTGTATCATATATACAGTCATTGTATTAATTCGTTCACTATAGAAACTTTTCAAAAAAAAAAAGAATTCGTCATTACTAATCATCAAAATTTAATTCAAATATTATTTGGAGTAAAAAACATAGAATCTAGACAATAACTAAATTGATTAATCTCTCTCTCTCTCTCTCTCTCTCTCATTAAATTAACAATTCTCATTAAATACAAACTGTAGAAACTCAATTATTTTTTCATAATTATTCTTAATAGATATTCCTTTGAAACAATCTTTATTTGATTGAATTCATTCTTATATAATATTTTATTCTCAATTATTAACAATTACTATTGTTTCTTCTTATAAAACTCAATATTCATTATTTCACTGTATGCTTATGCATATTGATGATCTTATTATATAAGTTTGTCTTCACTGATCAAGAGTCAAATGTTCATTACTATCTTTTTTCACATGATTTTTCCTCATTGACAATAGAGCACCGTAGGTTATTGTTTGTTATCATTAGCATTATCGTAGACAAAATCAAACACTTGAAAATCATCAAGACAATAGAAAAAAAAAATTTTTTCTTTTTCTTTCTCTTCTAAATAGAACAAGTAGTTATGATGCATCCATACGGTGCCTGTTCTCATCTTCATTGTTTGAGAATGCATACAAACACACTTATCGCTTTAGAAAAAGGATTAATTGGTATCATATTGAATTATTAAACACATACTAATTTTTATTCAATATTTACCATTCTCTTTTTTCTTTTTTTTTTCTTTTTCCATCTGATCGAATAAGGTGTGAGTTGAATAAAACAAATTAATGCAAAAGCGTGTTAAAAAGTATTATCTATAAATCTATAGAAATAATAACAATGATCATTGCTCTTCATAGTTTTTTTTTTTTTGTTTTTCATGAGAACACTCATACACACACACACACACGACTGTGTTTACTGACAAGAACTTGTGAATTAGACAAGAATTATTGAAAATACGCATATTTACATAATGTGAAAAAACAATTCATTAGTTTAACACATTACAAAAAATGAAAAAGCAAAAATTATTCATCAACGTCTGAATTATGATGTTCTTCCGTTATTGTCGTTGGTGTTTGTGTATTAGCAGTAAGAGATGTCAATCGTTGTTGATGATCATCTAATGTTTGACGACGCCATTTAATACGACGATTTTGAAACCAAACCTTGAATTAAAAAATTTGTTGTTTTTTTTTTCTATTGAAAATATTCTAATAAAAAAATTGTTTACTTTAACTTGTGCTTCAGTTAAATCAAGTGTTGTTGCTAAATAAAATCTTTCATTTCCAACCATATATTGTTGTTTATCAAATTCTGATTCAAGTCTTTCAAGTTGTTCAGGTGTAAATATTGTACGAATACGTTTTGGTTTTATTTTATGATTAATTCCATGACGAGAATTGTTTAGATGTTTATTTGATGTTAATCGATATGGAGAATGATCAGATTCAGATGATGATGAAACTATAAAGAAAAAAAAGTTATTTTTTTGAAGATTCGGAAACAAAAAAAAAACTGTTCTGGTTTTTTTTTGGTTTTTTATTTTTTACGTGTAACATCATTTTTATTGTTATTATTATTATTATTATGATTATTATTATTTGGCGTCATGTCAAGTGTTTTCAGTTGATTAAATAAAGCATAAGATGATATTGGTGGACTACGATATGATGTATGACCATCATCACTTGAACCATCTTCAGTATCATCATTATAACTTCGATTTGATATTTGATTATCTTTTGTTTTTAATTCTAAAAGTGATTCAATATCAAATGAACATTTTTTCACCGGACGATCTGAATTATTGCTAGAAAATCTAGATTAATAAAAAAATAAATAAATATATGAAATAAAATTTTTCGACATACGTTTTAGTTATAGTTTGACATTTTCCAAAATGTTTTCGTTTTCCATCAGATGTATTTGTTAAATTATGTGCTTTAACTATATCTTGTGATGATAGATACATAAACGACGGATGATAAAATGTTGATTGTGGGAGACCAAACATCGTTCAATTAGAACATAATAGTGACGAGTGTTGATCATTAAATGTGAATATATATTTTTTTCTTCTTCTCTCTCTCTCTCTTTCCTTTTTTTTCTTTGGGCAATGACGTTCGATCTTTCTTTTTCTTTTCAAGTTGAGTGTTCGTTCGCCGTGGCTAATTGGTCGTTCTCCGAACGAGAGAATTATTTATGATTCGTAAGGATTGAAAAAGAAAGAGAAAGATGAAGAAATAGAACCAATGATTAAGCAATCCGGCAATAATATAATAACATTAAAAGTAAAGTAGCAAAGAAAAAGAGAAAGCCGATTAAGAGATATAATGAAAAGAATAATATTTTATGATTATCGAGAATATTTTATTAAACATAAAAATATATATGTATTTAAAAGAAAATTCATTATTTCAGCCATGATTTATGATTTATACATAGGTTTAAGTTTAAAAAAAAAATGAAAGATGTGTTTTTTTTTGCAATTGTTATTAAATTGGACCAAAGATTGAAGAGTCATAGAAATATAAAATATATTATTCAATATATGTAAACAATGAAATTTTTCATAGGAAATGTTCATCTCAGGTAGCTAACATGACAAAATATGTTAATTGACATTGTTAGAAAAAAAAAAACATTTGTCTGAGATATGCGTAAAGTAATATATTTGAATGAATATTCAGAATACATAAGTTCTGAAAGAAAATAGGCTGCAAGTTAGAGAGGTGCAGATTTGAAGTTTAATTTATTGTCGAGTCTGAGTTCACAAGAATGTGAACACGCAGTTCCCTATTGCAAGTTCGATATAATGTGAGGGTATAAATGTTTGATTTCTGGCGATTAGGATCAACGAGGTGTTGTATAATAGAACTTTTGTGTAATGAATTAATCTCATCAAAAAAAAGAAATATCGTTCTTGTTTTAGTGTCGATAATCATTCGATCCTTCTAACCTTAAGTTTTTATCAGATGCGGCAGATTGTTATATATTCTTATATTTTGATCCTTAACACATAAGTTATTTCATTTTTATGAATGTTAATTAATTTTTCTTTTATAGTTTTATTTTTTTTAAAAGACAAAAAAAAAAAAAGAATAGAAAAGTTAAAAATCAATGTTGACAAATTTTATCAATACCAATTGTATGACATATAATAGTAGCTGAATCTTGATTAGTTTTAATTTGAATAGTATAGATTTAATGTACATGAAATCGTTGTTTATAACTTTCAGTAATTTTTAAATAAATCAAATTAATTTTATGTATTAATATAGATAAACATACTTTACAAATCATTTTTTTTTTATCAAATTATGTTCGACTATCCCTATTGCTTGAAAAACAATAATTATTAAATTTAACTTTAACTCATATGTATAATGAATAAGTAAGACATAATACTTTAAGGTGACAAAGTATTTCACCAGTTTCAGCATCCTAAAGATTACATTTATATTATTTAAGAATAAACAAAAAAAAAAAAGAAAAGATTTAATTGAGTTATTATTAATTTACTCTTGATAGAGATGACTTATTTTATATTTCATTTCATAAAGTAGTTGTTCGTTTTTGAGTAAAAGAAGTTTTTTAGCCGAAGAATTGCATAAAGACTTAGATCATCTTGAATTATTATGCTACTGATTTCTGTAATTCTAAATGTAACAAATAATATATATATACAGGGTGGCCCAAAAGTCACGCACCCAACAAAAAAAATTGAATATCTCCATTACGGCTTGAGCAAACGAACTAATTTTTTGTGATCTCATTTTCCCGATGATCTTTGATGCGCACGGGTAGATTCTGTATGGCTGAAGTTGAAGTAGGGACAAAATCTTAGAAAAATGAACTTAAGGGAGACTAGTGGTTTTCGTTCAAAGGCACGCAGGTTTTATTGAGAGTGTGAGCGTTGAAGACGTATCTTTTCTCACATCTGACGCCCGTATAAAGAATGAGAACAATCAAAGTTAGGTGACACTATTTTTTAACAATGAATTTTATACCGGGTTGTGCGTAACCTTTTGCTAGGGAGGTAGCGCTATGATTTCAAGTTAAATACCTAATGAATTTTTATTTCAAATTAAAGACCGTCAAAAACTAGATTCATTAGTACTAAATAGTAACAGTTATCAAAATATTTTAATGTCGAACTTACGAAATTTTCGGAAATTTTATGCTTTTTTTAGTATAGAAAATTAGAGCACCAGCAGTGTTTTATAGGGAAGAAAAACATTCGATTTTCTCAATAAAATTAGTTTTTTCATTATTTTCACTCATAAAGACTCTTCGAGATATATTCATTAGACGTAATTTTTCATGCTGCGTCGGATGAGTATATTTCGAAGCGTCTTTGTAAGTAAAAATAATGAAAACAGTTAATTTTATCGAAGAAATCGAGTGTTTTTCTTCCATATAAAAAAATTGAGTTTTTTTAAGATTTTTTAGGATTTTACAAGTAATTTTGTTAGATTTTTTATTTCAGAAAAATGGCTCAAAAAACTTTTAATATATATAGTTTTGTAGAGCTCGACGGGTCCTATCGAACCATGTAAAACTACCAAAAGAAAATATTTTACGCTATATTTGAATTGCTGGTGCCCTAATTTTCTATGCTAAAAAAAGCATAAAATTTCCGAAAGTTTCGTAAGTTCGACACTAAAGTATTTTGATAACTCTTACTATTTAGTACTAATGAATCTAATTTTTGACGGTCTTTAATTTGGTATAAAATTTATTAAGTATTTAACTTGAAATCATAGCGCTACCTTCCTAGCAAAAGGTTATGCACAACTCGGTACTTGATAAAACATCCATCTTCATTCTGTTTTGGAACTTAGAGAATAAAGAAGTACCGTTGAAAGAAGCTATAAGTTATTTAAACCCATAGAAATGCGAAGAGCTCACAAAAGTCAAATTTCCGCTTTTCTGGCTTGAAGAGGTGATAACCCTGAGTTGTTCATATAGTAGCAGGGGTTGGAAATTAAAAATAGATAGAAAGTACTAGATTCTAGTGTTCGAATACTTCACCAATCTTAATTTATTTAATCGAAAATATACCGAGAATGTTATTCTGTGTATAAAATATGTTGATATATAACTTTCACGATATAAAATAATTATTCACAGAAGGTCAAATTCATTTCGTCATGATGAAAATTTTGTTGTATTCGATTTTGAAAATTTTTTTAGGTAAAAAAATCATAGTTTTGTAAGAAAAAAAATATGCATTTGTGCGTAAATAACTTTTCATTTCGATTGAGAGTTGCATTTCAAGATGCTTTCATATATTACAAAATGATATAAACTCTAATGATCAAGAAAAAAAAGGTAAAATTTTACATAACTCAAAAATTTGTTAGTTAAATCTTAACTAAAATAAATAACTTCAAATGTCATTAATGAATCAACCTTCAATAATGATATATATATATATACTAAAATCAACATGATTACATATTATTGGAGAGTATCAAATGGTATTCAGGGTCGTAACTGATGGGTGTGCATAGGGCGTGACGCTTCCCTACATTCAGTACTGAGTTACGCTTTTGATTGTATTTATTTTATTTCGATAAGTAAGGAAGATAATACGAAAAAAAATTGATCAGATATATATGATGTTAAATAGAAAATGAAATAAAACATATTTTATTTCATCAAATAACATTCTTTAATGAAAATTATTTAAACATTTTTCATACAATAAAGAATGATCAAGGTTTAATCGATTATTGCGACATCTAGATGGTTTTCTGATGCGATGATTCACAACAACCAATAAAAGAAAAGGTTGTTTAGATTATTATTATTATTATTATTGCATTTATTCAAATGCATATTTAATATTTTTAGTTATGAGAAAGAAAGTTAATATTTATTTCTTATTTATTAATCTAAAAGATACAATAAGTTAAATAACTTTAGATGCATGAGTCTTTAGTTATTTCTCTATCATTTAACGTAAAGTTGTACTTCCTCGTTGTCCAATTTGAATTTTTTCATCAATAACATTATTTTTCCTATCACTATCATACCAATCAAATGGACGTCGACCAAATTTAAGATCATATTGAGGTAAATCTCGTACTGAATTAGATTTTGGAACTGTCTTAATCTTTGTTGCTTTTTTTTTCTTTGTACTGTTTACAAGACTACGTTGTGGTGTAATAGCCGCACGCGGTTCTCGTGATACATATTGTAATGGTGACGAGCTTTGTGGTATAGCTTGTACGTACTGAATCGGTCCAGCATTTATTTGTTGTGGTTGTCCAATATTAGTAAATTGTGGCAATGACATTGACGGTTGTAGCATTGGTTGACCATTAGAAATTATTATTGGACTTGAAGCTGTACTTCCAATAAGATTCGATGGACTAAGTTGTAAAGGTGGTAAAGCAAGAACTTGCTGTTGCATTGGTAATGCTAATTGTTGTTGTTGTTGTTGTTGTTGGATTTGTCCTGATTGTTGAAATTGTAAAGGTGGTAAAACAATTTGTTGAGGTTGCTGTTGTATTTGATTTTGACCGAGAGCTGCTAGAGGCGGTTGTGATTGTTGACATGGAACAGGCAAAAGTATAATTGGCTGTTGTTGTGGTGCTGCTGCTGTACATCGTCGTGAATGAGAATGTGATCGATGACGACGTCGTGAACATGAACTTATTGTTGAACATGATGATAATGATGAATATGAACTTGAGTCAATAATATGTATAACTGGACGACAACGTCGTGAACGACGATTTCGACGACAAATACGCACCGGACGACGACAGTATGAATGAAGTCCTGGGTCATAACTTGGTGGTGGTGACTCTATTATTGACATTGGACCTTGGTTTGGATAGGGCATCGGAGGTAGAATAGGTTGTAGTGGAGGCATTGGAGGCATTGGAGGATAAGGATATCCCATACCAAGCCCGCCACTGTAATTCATTATTGGTGGTTCCAGAGTACCTGGTGGAGGAAGAAAGGAATTTGGAGTAAGTAAAGGAAATTTACTAGCTCCCCCCATAGGTGGAATACCTGGATAAAAGCCGCCGCCAGGAGCACCCGGAATAAATGATTCTGGAGTAAGAGCTGGAAATGGTCTAGGATATGGAGCATGTTTGCCTCTTGGTGGTGCGATAGGACGACCAGGTGGTGGAGGTTTAGCCAACTAAAATAGATAAAAATTAATAAAACCATGCATCTCAAAAGTTACTTCGTCGTGAAAAAAAAGCTTCATTATCACTGTCATATTTTGATTAGATGGAATGATTTTTTTACTGCTCATAAAAAAAAATGCTCATAGTTTATATTCATAAGAAAATCAATGAAAAATACTGTCTTATAATATTACATTTGACATGTGTGTGGACTAGTAATGTTAATAAGTTTAAAAAAAAATGCATTTATTGCTCTGATCACAAACCAAACAGTACACAATATTTTTAAACCAATATTTTTGACAACTATTGTTTGATTCTAAGTTTCTACTAGGAATTTATATCTTATTAATTAGTATAACCTAACATTTATAGTGATAAACAACCAAAATTATTAAGTGAATTATTGAGAATATTTTTTTTTTTTCGTTTTCATAATCAGTCAAAATTGTAAGTTTGTATTCACATCAAAAGTAATACTTCAACATAGTATTTTTCGTTGATTTACTTATGAATATAAACTATAATTATTTCTTTATTAGCAGTAAAACAAAAATCAGTTCATTTGGTCAAAATATGGCAAAAATTGTTAAGGTTTTCATTCTGAAATAGTATCTTTTGGAGACATTATGTATTTAAAGATTATATTTGAAAATTTGGCTAAAAAAGAAATATTTTTTTCTAGATAAATCTAAAAATGACAACAACGGATCATAACAGTGATTCATTTGTAACAATTGATTCGTCTGAACTTGATCATCTTCGTTCAAATGTTCTTAAGTCTCAAACAGCTACATATCGTTGTCTAGCTCGAAATTTACCTGTATCAGATTCTTTACTTAATTCATGTTCATATAAATTACAATTTGCTAATCTAATTCAAAATCATCTTCAACAAGAACAATCAAATCCAACTAATATTGTTCTTACACAAATATCCAAAGCAAATGATCAAAATAATATTGATACATCATTAACATTTTCATCAGCAACAAATATGTATCGGTGGTTAATTGGATCAAATGAAATAAATGAAGAAAAAACTGTTAATCGAATTCAAAAACAGCCAATTTATTTTAATCCATTATATAGTCAACAAGAACGAGATAAACGGTAAATTATATTAAAATAATTCATTTAAAAAAAATTCTTTATAAGCATAAAAATTCAATTGATTCTTTCTTATTTCTTAGTGCTCTTAATCGTATATCAAATCGTCTTCAAGAATTAGAACATATGCCAGCTAATATGAATGTTGAATTACGGACACGAGCATTGATTGAATTAAAATCACTTAAATTACTTCAATTTCAAAAACAACTTCGTAGTGAAGTTCTCAATACAACGAAGGTTTTCATCTATCTTTTTTTGTGAAACACAATTAGAATGCATCGAGTTCGAGCCAGAAAATTTTAGTCTTGGTGGACACTAGTCATCTGAGAAATGTGCAGGATGCATTAGTCACCGAATAAAAATAATCGGAAAAAAAGTATCCCGTGTCTTCGGAATGATTATCCAATTTCGATTAGAAAATTTCATTAAGAGTATCAAAGTATGGTTCGAACGAGCTTGGATCCAAAAAATTTAGACCTGATGAGCTCTAAATACGATCTAAAAGACGCTGAAGTATAGAGGTTGAAACTGGAGTCTTTCCCGTCCTCGCGCCAGAGACATTGTTGATATATGATCACGGACCATAAATCAACAACGTCTCGTTACCGTATATGAATTACTTTATTACATTTCTGAGCAATTAAATAAAAGGATGGGGAAGAAATGTGTCCTAAAATAGATAAAATAAAGTAATTTCTTTATGATTAGCAAGAGCAGTTACATCGTATTTCACATTTTAAATCCCACAAGAATTGTACTAACAGATTTTACAATTATTTTCTAATTTCTTTTAATAATAGAAAGATACATTAATTCAAACTACTCTTAATCCTCGTGCCTATAAACGTCCAAAACGTCACCAACTTCGTGAAGCACGTTCAACTGAACATTATGAACGACAACGTAAATTAGAAATTAAACAACGAAAACATGCTAAACATCAAGAATTTTTAAATGCTATTTTAACACATGCAAGAGATTTTCGTGAATATCATCGTCGATATACAATGGCAACATTACGTATGAATAAATCAATTCAAGCTTATTTTGCTAATAATGAACGTGAATTAATTAAAGAACAAAAACGTCAAGAAAGAGATCGTATTATAACTTTAATGAATAATGATGAAGAAGGTTATAGAAAATTAATTGATGAAAAAAAAGATGCACGTTTAGCATTGTTACTATCACAAACAGATTCTTATATTGATAGTTTGAAACAATTAGTACGACAACATCAACAAGCTAATCGTTCGCAAGCGCGATTAGATAAAAAAAATACTGGTAAATCAGAAGAATCAGTAAGAACAGTAGTTAATCCACCGTCAATTGATCAAAAATCAACAACAACGTAAGTTTTCATTGAATAAAATAAAAAATTCAAACAAATAAAGATTTCATTTTTTTTTTAGTTCAACAAACAATCAAACTGGTAATGATGAAAAAATATGTGATGCTGTTAAAGCTGCAGCAACAAATGAAGATGATGAATATGATGCAAAAGAATCTTATTATTCTATAGCTCATCGTATAGTTGAACCTGTAACAGAACAATCAAAAATGCTTGTTGGTGGACAACTTAAACCATATCAATTACAAGGTCTTGAATGGCTTGTTTCATTATATAATAATAATTTAAATGGTATACTTGCTGATGAAATGGGTCTTGGAAAAACAATTCAAACAATAGCATTAATTGTATATTTAATTGAGTGTAAAAAAAATCTAGAACCATCATTAATTATTGTTCCATTATCAACATTATCAAATTGGGCTGCAGAATTTCGACGTTGGGCACCAGATGTAACAGTTATACAATATAAAGGTTTACCACATGTACGTAAAATGCTTGCACAAACAATACGTACAACGCGTTTTAATGTTTTATTAACAACATATGAATATATAATGCGTGATCGTTCAATATTATCAAAAATTTCATGGAAATATTTAATTGTTGATGAAGGACATCGAATGAAAAATCATCATTGTAAATTAACACAAATATTAAATACATATTATTCAAATGCTCCACATCGTTTATTATTAACGGGTACACCATTGCAAAATAATTTACCTGAATTATGGGCATTATTAAATTTTATTTTACCAACTATATTTAAATCTGCAACAACATTTACAGATTGGTTTAATGCACCATTTGCAACATTACCAAGTGAAAAAGTTGAATTAAATCATGAAGAAACATTATTAATTATTAGACGATTACATAAAGTTTTACGACCATTTCTTTTACGTCGACTTAAAAAAGAAGTCGAATCACAATTACCAGAAAAAGTTAGTATTACTTTATATTTTAAATATGTGAAATTTGAATTAGAAATTAAACATACGTTATATCATCATTTTTTCTCTTACACATTTGAAAATCATCTATAAAGTTATATCAAATACTGATAATAGATTTAGTCAATTAGATAAATCTTCAGCTGATTGTTTTCTGATTTGTCAAAAATTTTTGTCGGAATACTTTTAAATAACTTATGACAAATATGTCTAATGATTTTTTCGATTACTTGCCTACAGTACTGGTGTTTCGACTCATGTTTACACTACCAGTACATGGCTTATTACTCATAAGAGGATCTTCCCAACTTGAAAATCGCTTTTGAGTTCGGATCCTATGCATAAGACAGGCTGAAATGAGGTATTAAAAACTCAAAAAAAAGGATAAGGGGTCCTAGGCCTCCTCTAGAAGGTTATAGCCGTTTTGCTAAAATTTTAGTCTATACACGATATATACATAAGAGCCGAATAATGATATTTTGACTTGAAAATTTGTCGATAGATAGGCTTACTTGTAGCTAGAATATCCTGAAAATCTCAGTTCAACAGAATATTCTCTCTACAAGATATTGAATTCCTTCCCCAAAAAAACATGAAATTCTCGAATCTTTTGTGGACTATAAGTGAGTTTTGGGAACTCAATATCTCCTGAAGGGAGCATTGTTTCGAGCGAAAATTTTCAGGACATTCTAATTACAAGTATGTTTATCTATCGACAAAGTTTCAGATCAAAGTATCATTATTCGATTCTTATCTACATATCGTACCAAAGGCTAAAATTTGAGTAGAATAACTGTAACTTTGTTGGAAAGATCTAGAGACCCTTATCTTTTTGACATTTTTAATACTTTATTAGAATCTATCCTTGTTCATAGAGTCCGAACTCAAAAATCAATTTTCAAATTGAGCAAAATTCTATCGTCATTCTATTTTGAAAATTTCAGTCGCTAATAGCATGAGTTCATCGAGAAAATTTCATCTGACAAAAATTCTTGTTTTTCTAGTTTTCTTTTGTGTTGTTTAATATGTTGCTTGTTAACAAGGATATTTGCAAAATGAATAGGATTTTATAGCCGTTTTTTGCTCGATTTCAATAGAAAACTATTCAAATAAAGTTAAACAAAACCGACTATAAAATCCTATTCATTTTTCCAATGTTGATATTAACAGACAAATATAGAAAGAAAAACCAAGAATCACAAGATTACATGAAATACAATTTCTATCTATTTTCTCAATGAATTCTTGTAATTTATGGCTGAAAATTTTGAAACAGACTGAGTTATAAATTATGTACTGATGTTGTAAATAAAGTGAAATGTTCCATTTATTTTGTAAAGGAAGGATATATGTTAGCTTTCTTCTAACCACTGATTTGAACGAATAAAACTCATAAAAAGAATTATAAATATTTTTTCTATAAAAATAATGTCTAATATTAACACATACAAGTTAGCTATTGCATATGAAAATATGTTATTTTTCTAAAGATTTAAAACAAATCTTTATAGAATTAATTATATTTTATGATTCTTATAGGTTGAATATATAATAAAATGTGAATTATCTGCTTTACAACGTTGTCTTTACCAAACAATGGCAAAAAATCGTACATTAATTATTGAAAATCAAAATGGTAAAAGTGGTCGTCGTGCGTTAATGAATAAAATTA